TATTTATTTTTCTAAATTTTTATTTATTAAATTATATCAGTATTTATTAAATTTGCCTACTTAATTATAATTAGAAGTGTTCATAGATTTCATGGTTCGTTGATATGGGTCCGGCCCGCTCGAAGTTCATGATGTCAATGAAACCATTGAATTTGAAAAAAATATATACTATAACACTTCGATTCGTTTCTATCAAAACTGACCGGATCAGCCTATAAAATTTATTATAAAAAAATGAGAGGCTAATTTCTACGGTGGAGTTAGACGATACTAGGATGCTAAAGTCTTTTATTCCCTATATTCTGTTCACTTTATTTCTTGTTATACTAATTTCTTTGCAGGTTGTCTTACGAAAGAGTACTAGATTTATTTTTCTATGTAAATTTGTTGATTCCAGATTGGGTTCATTTTAAGAATTATTTTCTCAAATTACACATACTTGCTACTAATTTTTTTTCTCCTTCTTCTTTTCTATGTAAATTTATGTGTATAGGAAAAAAAAATATATTCTCATATACATTGTTGATATTCACAAACAAAATTTAAAATATGACAACCAAAATAGATTTGCACAGCCCCTTTTCCAAACAAAAAAAAGCCTTTGAAAGGCAGTTTTCTCTCTTGACCAAAACCCTAGTGCCGCTTTCTTTCATCTTCTTCCTCCGAAGCAATGGCAGAGCCACATAGAAGTTATTGGGGTCATTGGCCCCCAGTAAATTTTTAAAAATTAGAACAACTTATTAAAGCCCAGTTTTAATGCCCCCATTAGTTAAATTATATATGCCCCCATTCTCTTATTTATTAAACCCAGACTAATAAAATTGGATTTTTAAGCCCAATAAACAAACAAACACAAGCTTGAAGCTACTAATAAAAACAAAAAACGTGATTGATAAAAAAGGAAGAATCCCACATCGACATCTAGTGAAACAAATTCTAAAAAAGGCTGCATATATATAGTTTACTTTATTTTAGCAACATCAGTAATTTTTTTGGGCTTAAAAGTTAAAACATAAAAGCCTACGTTTAAAGAGCTTTCGCTAGATCAAACGGATCTCAGATAGATCAAACATTGTTTTGGTTTGATTTGGCCCACCGATTTAACTATCGGTTCACAGAGTTTTAATTGGTTTTTTTGGATTTTTAAGGTTTTTAAAAATCCAATTTTAGTAGCTAATTTAGATCGGATTGTCAGCTGGTTTTTAATTAAACCGATTTAACCAACTGGTCTAATCTGAGTTCTAAACATTACTGCAAAAATAGCATACTATGAATCAATTAGTAAGTCTTATATATTTGTTTAATTGTTTATTTTAGTTATTTTTTTAACTTAATTTAAATTAGTAACACAATTGTTTCTTTTCTCAGTTGATGGAAAAGTTTTTGAAAAGAAAATCCGCCTCAACATCTGAGACTGAGAGTAATTTGGATGATTTGCCATGGGATCCTGCTAAACGGAAAAAGATTTTGGAATATCATCCAAATCAAAGAGATGAGGTAAGACGCAAGTATCTTGATAGAGGTCCTTGTAAGCCTTATGGTCATAATTTTCCAAAAAAGATGATAGGAAAATCATTAAGAAGATTTAATCCAGCTTGGTTTGATCAGTATGCTAACTGGCATGAGTATAGCGTATCGAAAGATAAAGCCTTCTGTTTGTGCTGTTACTTGTTTAGAGATGATATACAAAAACAAGGTGGGAATGATGCATTTGTGACCGAAGGTTTTTCTAGTTGAAATAAATCTGAAAGATTAGCTTCTCATGTGGGTGCTATGAATAGCTTTCATAATATTGCTGTTAAGAAGTGTGATTCTTTGATGAATCAAAATCATTCTATTGAGCATGCTTTTTATAAGCAAGATGATGTGGCAAAAAATGAGTATCGTATTCGGTTAAATGCTTCAATTGATGCTTCTAGATATTTGTTGCGACAAGGATTATCTTTCCGTGCTCATGATGAGTCAGTAGAGTCTGATAATAAAAGGAATTTCAAACAACTCTTGAAATACACAGCAGAACAGAACGAGGTTGTAGGTAAGGTTGCTTTGGAGAATGCTCCAAAAAATAACCAAATGACTTCTCCTCCGATTCAGAAGGATATTGTATACTGTTTTGCAGAAGAAGTTGTGAAATCTATTATAGAAGAAATTGATCATGGTGATTTTGGTCTATTGGTGGATGAATCTGCTGATGTTTCACACAAAGAACAAATGGCTGTTGTTTTTCGGTTTGTCGATAAGATAGGAACAATCAAAGAAAGATTTATTGGTGTTGTTCATGTAAGAGACACATCTTCCTTGACTCTCAAGCATGCTATAGATGATTTGTTTGCTAAGTATGGATTGAGCTTGAAAAATATAAGAGGTCAAGGTTATGATGGAGCGAGTAACATGAAAGGTGAATTTAATGGTCTCCGGTCTTTGATTCTAAGGGAAAACAGTTCAGGCTATTATGTTCATTGCTTTGCTCATCAACTTCAGTTGGTTATAGTGGCAATTGCAAAGAAACATTTTGAAGTTGGTGATTTTTTCGATAAGATATCTACAATGTTGAATGTTGTTGGAGCTTCGTGCAAATGAAAAGATAAGTTTCAAGAAATATACCGAAAAGAAATTGAAAAAAAAATCAATGATGGTGAAATTAGCACAGGGAAAGGAAAGAATTAAGATCGTTCTCTTCCAAGGCCAGCAGCTACTCGTTGGGGTTCTCATCATAAGACATTGTTCCGCTTGGTCGAGTTATTTTTAATAGTTACTAAGGTGCTTAAATTTATTCAAATCGAAGGCATTGAAGACTCGAAGAAACGTCAAGCATATGGTCTTGCTAATTATTTGCACACATTTGATTGTGTTCTATATGCATTTTATGTTGCATATCTTGGGGCTAACTGAAAATTTATCCATGGCTTTGCAAACAAAAGATCAAGACATTCTCAATGCTGTTTCGTTGGTCGAATCTACAAAGCGAGAACTACAGAAGTTTAGAGATGATGGATGGGACTCACTGATGGTTAAGGTTCATTCTTTTTGTAAGAAACATGACGTTGACATGGTCATGATGGAAAATGAGTTTGTTGATTTCAGAAGGCCAAGAAAGAGAACCAACACAACCAATTTACAATATTACAAGATCAGTTGTTTTAATTTTGTTCTGGATTTGCAGCTGCAAGAGTTCAATGATCGTTTTACTGAAGTAAACACTCAACTCCTTATTTGCATGGCTTCTTTAAGTCCCACAAGTTCATTCAAGCAGTTTGATAAAGATAAGTTGATGAAGTTGGTTGACTTCTATCCAGATGATTTTACTTCTGTTGAGCGTTTTTCTCTTGAGCAGCAATTTGACATCTACATTGACAATGTAAAAGAGGATAAACGATTTAGTAATTTGAAAAGTCTTGGAGATTTTTCGCGTCTGATGGTGGAAACACAGAAACATCTTGCACATCCTCTTGTTTACAGATTATTGAAGTTGGTGTTGACTTTACCAGTTGCTACAGCAACAGTTGAGAGATGTTTTTCTGCAATGAAGTTTGTGAAAACAACTTCTCGCAATGGAATTAGAGATCAATTTTTAAGTGATTGTCTTGTTTGTTTTATTGAGAAAGAGTTGTTTGAATCGGTTACAAATGAAACAGTGATGAAGAGATTTCAAACCATGGCTCAACATAGAGTATGCTAGAGTATGCTTGTAAAGTGGTTTATGCCTGAAAAAAATTTCTGGCTCCGCCACTGCTCTGAAGCCTCTCCGGCGAGTGGTCCTCATTGTTCTGTCTTTCTGGGCTTAATTGGTAGCCGGTGGTCACGACTCTGAACCGTAGAGTCTCGATCTACTCTTCTCCGGCAGTGGCGACGTGGTTGAAGCATGACATCGAGGTGGGTTGGCGTCTGGGCGTTCAAAGCGGCAGAGATGTTTGGACTAGCAAATACAAGTGGATCTGAACGCTTGGGGACGGCGGTGGATCCCAGCGGAAAGCTTTTCGACCTTGACGATGCTGCTCCTGGATGTAGATCTTGCTGCGAATCTCGATGTTGAGTCTTCGGAGGGAAAGCACTGCGAGCCAGAGGACGATGCGTCGGTTAGTGACTCGACCTTCGCGGGCTCAGGCAGAATACGGCAATGATGACTGGTGGGTTCCTGCCCTCACCGTGTCAATCCGTGAACTGGAAACGCCTTGAGATCTCCTCATTTGACCGGATTGAAGGTAGATTTTGAGGTAAGCAATTGTACCCGAGACTAGGTCTCGCCTCGGCGTGGCTTCTCCGGCGATGGCCGTAGGGACTTCGTGAGCAAGCTTCGCTGGCATCGGGAAGAAAGAGTAGAGATTTGGTGAAGCGAAGTGCTCGAAATCGTAGATCGGAGTCGGTTCTCCAGTTTTTCAGAGAATAGAGGCAGAGAGACGCAAGCTCTCAATTCGGAACCGCCGATAATCGGCGACGTCTTGCTCCGGAGAGACCTTAACATAGTCTCAAATTCAATTCCTGTTTTGTAATTTACGGTTCGGTGTTGTAAACCCGGTTCGATCTCCGGTTTGGGTTAATTTGATTAAATAATATTTGGTTAACAAAAAAAAAGATTTGCACATGGAACGTGGTCCAAGACTAACCATTAACTCCAGAACCTTTAAATAGTTCCAAAATATGCCTCCTTTTAGTTTTTTTAAACGGAAGGTCCAAAATTGCCGTCTCCAAAACATAGATTGAGAAGAGCCACAAAAAGGATTACAAACTAAAAATAGTAAAATACAGCTGCCTATAAAGAATTCCAAAACAAGGATTGTGTCACGTGTGTGTGTGGTGTGGTGTCAACGCTTTACGGCTAACAAGTAACAACCACATCCTTCACTCATTCTCTTTGTATCTCGTCCCCACACTTTTGTTTACTTTGTTTTATTCAAAATACTCTTCAAATGGTCCAAATGCATCTAATTCTAAATGCTAAGAAAAGGTAACTTAAAATATTCGGAAAAAGTTGAATATTAAAAAGCTTATAACAGGTCATGAACATGGTTAACAGTTTAGATTGCTAACTGTTAAAACACTAGTTTATAAATTATTATTAAAAATTTGCTAAGAGTTTACAAAGAAACAACTTTAAACTTAAAAACAGAACATAAAGACAAATGGGATCTAAGATCGTACGGTGAAGATCAAAAGTCAAATGTGTCGGATCCACCGAAATAAGACCATTTCCCATCCTTGCCGCAGCCGCCGCCACCACCAACCGCTGCTTCATCGCAGTAGTAAACGCCTAAGTCATTAATCGCTGCAGTGAGAGCGTTTGTGGACGTTTCCATGGAAAGGTAAGGCATGTTGTCGAATGAACGAGCAAGACAAGATGCAGCTAGTTTCTCATTTCCCTTATCACCACCACCACCAGCCTTGTGAACCGAAGATAACTCCTCAGCTCGGTGTTTAAGAGTCTGAAACATTAGCTCAGGCTCGTGTTGCATCGCTCTAAGCACATCCGCAGAAGATTGGCCCATCACAGCACGAGTCACCGCGAATCCATGAGGTCCATCGCTCTGCAAAACCCGAACCACGCTTGGTCCACCAAACAAATTGTGTACTCCACCAAGAGCTTCCTCATAAGCCCCACCAAGAAACATTCCCAAATAGTATCTCCCGCCACCATTGTTGTCCAGCTCGTGCAATGGCAAGCTAGACTCTCCTCCTATGAACTTGTTGATCTTCCCGTCGCTGTCACAAGTCAAATCAGATAAGATCCCTCTCGCCAAAGGCCTTTGATCAAGCTTATGGATTGGAACTATAGGAAACAGCTGATCAATCCCCCAGAAATCAGGAATCGAAGTGAAAACCGAGAGATTAACATGGTAAGTAAGAACCGGATCCGATGCACCAATGGCTTTAACCACCCACTCGCATAAACCATCAACACCAGCTAACTGTTCGATGCTCAAGTTACCTTCTTTAAACCCTTCAACACATCTCTGTTTCAGCTGATCAACGTAAAGCAAACAGCTTTCTCGATCACCACGCATCGCAGCACCGTAAAGATTCTCGTAATCACCTCGAGCTTCCTCTGAGTAGCCTTCAAGCAAGAACTGAACATCACTTGGGGTCTCATGTTGTTGACCAGCTGAGACTGCTTCAAAGATCAACACTGAATGATGAGAGACAATGGCTCGACCACTCTCGCTGCAAATCACCGGATGCTTCACGGATTTCGAATCGCAAACGAACCTAATTGACGAAACAACAGCTGAAGCATACTCCTCGAGACTGTAAGCAACAGAGAGATCCGATTCACCGGATTTAGACCCGTCGTAATCGATCCCTAACCCACCACCAATGTCGATTACTTCCATACAAGCACCGAGACGGGTAAGCTCACAGTAAAGCTGCGCAGCCTCAGCAACACCGTCGGAGAGCAAAGCCGTTGATGGAATCTGTGAACCGATGTGAAAATGCAGAAGCTTGAGGCAATCAAGCATACCAACTTGACGAAGCTTACGAACCACACGAACGATCTGGACAGTGGTCAAACCAAACTTGCCTTTCTCACCAGAAGTGGAACCAAAATGACCTGAGTGTTTCGTTCTCAGCTTGGCTCGTAACCCAATCACAGGCCTCACGTTCATCTTCTTGCTCAAATCGATAACCAATTCAAGCTCTTCTTCTTGCTCAAGAACAATCACTGTGTTTAATTCAAGCTTCCTCCCAAGCAAAGCCAATGAGATATACTCAGAGTCTTTGAAACCATTACAGACGAGAAACGCATCAGGATTACCTTTACACAAACAGCTCATAGCGAGAAGGATCTCAGGCTTCGAACCAGCTTCCAAACCAAACCGGAAACTCGATCCGAACTCGACGATATCTTCGATGATGAATCGATCCTGGTTACATTTCACCGGAAACACACCTTGGTAATGAGAATCGTAGCCTTGGGTCTGGATCGCGAAATCAAACGCCGATTGTAAACACTCGAGTCGATTCTTCAGAACGTCAGGGAACCTGACGATGAGAGGAAGCTGCAAAGCTAAACCACCGGAGGATTTCGGATCCGTAGCTTTCTTAACGACCTTCATCAAATCGATGTCTTGGTGAGGCAAAGTGTTTGAGCCGTGAGGTCGAACGGAGATGTTGCCCGAGGAATTCGCGGCGAAATACGGATCTCCCCATCCGTCGATTCGGTAAAGCGAGGCTGAGAGCGACGGAGACCAGTGGCAGGTGGTGTCAACAACGGCGGCGGAATTTGGCGACGCCGGGATGAAGACGCCGGAGCAGTCACCGGGAAAGGCATCGACGGGGGTATCAACGAAAGCTAGAGCAGGCATCTTCTTCTTCTTCCTTCAGCGACGATCACAATTTAATAATAAACGAATTTTTTCGAAAGCGAGAGCAAAATTGGAGAATCAATTTTCAATCAAAAATGAGAAAACTGAATCTGTAATTTTCTTTCCACAGAATTCGTGAAGATTGGGGGATTTTGAAACCCGCCGAGGCAAAAGAGCCTCGGGGCTATAACCCCCTCAAAAGAAGCAGAAGGTGAATCTGTCACCGCCGTGAAACCCGCCTTTAACGACCCGACCCGACCCGAAACTCTCCACGATGAACGTTCAGGAGAAGCTTAACAATTTGGTGAAAACAGAAATGGAAAATTTTCCAAATCTGAAAATCGGCAACAAAACTATTCCCTGAAAGATTCCCTCAACATGCAAAGGCACAATTTTTAAGAAGGTAAAATTGAAAAAGAAAACTGAGGGAATAGAAAAGGAAAATGAGGATTACTAATTTTCTCGGGAAAATTCCAGGGAATAAAATTGAGGAAAATGGGGATAGTATTGGAAGAGAAGATTAGCGGCTGAAACAGAAATGGAAATGAGCGAGTTTTGCATGAAGGGAGATGCACGTTTATATAGGAGAAGGTGAGATTTTAAGTGAGGATGGATTTGGGCTTGGGCCCTATTTTGAACACCACTTCCTGTCCACCCAAAACTTTAATTCATTTATTCAACCGAATATTTAATACAAAATTTACTAGTTATTAACTAAAAATTTTGAAATCACTTGACTTTGTGGCACAAGGCTTCCCACTTTTGTTGAAAGTTGAAACCCCTTTTCGAGAAAGAACGTGAATAAATTAGATTAATCTTAGACCCTTTTAATTTAAGATGCTCTGTTTATGTTTGGCCTCTGTTTTCTGAGCCTCTGTTTTGAGAACTTTTTGCTTTTGTTTTCACCATGGTGGTGTTTATGTTTTGTTTAAATTTTTGTAACAAATTGAGATGACAAAAAAAAGTTTTCATACATAAATTTATAAAGTTATCTTCAAAAAACCCATACTTTCATCACTTTTTAACCACTTCTGTAATTCATGATTTGTTCAATTAATAAGCTATCTATCTCAAAGCCAAAAACTGGAAGGCACAAAAGATTTAATAATCTCATCTTAACACTCAAAGATGGTTTCAGAAGTAAACTTCTTTACAAACAAAATATCATCAAGTTCCTCAAGACATATGCAAACAGTATAAAACATTGCCAATCTCGTTTATTACCGAACCAAACAATGACATCAAGCAACCACCAACCAAGGAAAACGGAGATGGCAGCCGATCTGCTTCCCAGAAAAAATTCCAAGAATCCACAAAATATTGGCTCCCGATACGACATACCATAAGGAAGTACCTGGATTTCAACATCTTATATTGTGTATCTCATTCTGCTCTGGACTGACCAGCTCGAGAGGATAAGATAATGCCTACAATAAGACCGTAGAGAGCAAGTGCTTCCGCGAAGATAAGGATAAGAATCATCCCAACAAAGAGCTTAGGCTGCTGAGCATTTGCCCTGAGACAAAAATTCCACAAACCGAACAAGTCAAGTTCAATTCAACACTATTAACATTCTCCCGTGAGGATGAGGAACAAACCTGACTCCAGCATCTCCGACGATTCCAATAGCCATTCCAGCCGAGAGACCAGCAAGACCACAAGCAAGACCAGACGAGAGGTGTGCGTATCCATCAAAGAGGTAGTAAGACTTAGCCTTGGGGTTAATACCGGTACTGATTATAACAGCAATAATCAGTCCATAAATACCCAAAACACCAGCCATAACCACAGGGACAATAGACTTCATCACCAACTCAGGTCTCATCACTCCCATTGAAGCTACACCAACACCACTCTTTGCAGTCCCATAAGCAGCTCCCATACCTAACCCAATCCAAAATCCACATTCAGGTTAATCCTTATATGCAGCCATAAAAATGTGTTTCAAGACTCGGGCAATGTAATCAAATAGCGTCAGATAAATCAACACCTAAAACAAGAATATGATTTAAAACTCCCATACCTAAGCCAATCCAGTAACATTCATGTCACGGCCAAATCACGATCCTTGTATGGTAAACAAATAGTGTTTTGGAAATCAATACCTAAAAGCAGAATCCTCTCTAAAGTAAAATTTCCCATAATACATACATGATGGTGAAATATGAACCATAGCCATTAACATTCAGGTTAATATGATCCTTCCAAGTCTCAGTTAATGTCAAACAGGATTAAGCTACACAAATTACACAATCCATACATACATGATGGTGCAAAAGCAATGTTCGAAGAGATAATTATGTGGATACAGATCGAACCAAAAACACTAATCATTCAATCAATTAGGCACACGACTCTTCTAGAACTATGCACGAGTAGCAATTAAAAACATAGGAATTGACAGAGACATTCATCTCTCTCCGTGATTCGCTAAGCAATCATATGAATCTCATTCGGTTTCCAGAAAAAAAAAAAGGAACACGCTTAGATCAAATGGATTGACACGAGGATACTAGATGAATTGAAGAAGACGGATCGAGTGAGATTCGAATTGAGAAGAAGCAATGCTTACAGGAGAAGACCAGGGCAGCCGCCGCGCCAAGGAAGCCGAAGAACGGAGCAGTTTCATCGCCGCTGAACGTAGACATCTTCTCGGATCTTAGACCGGATCGTTCAAATCTTGGGAGAGAGATTTGGATTTTGTAGCGACCTCTGTGATTTTTTTGTTTTTTTTTTTTTTTGGGGATTTTCAGATGAGTGGAGGAGAACGACGAACTTGTTGAATCCAGCTCAGAAAGCCCATTTCGAAAAATTCATTTAATAAAACAGAAAATATATATTTTAAGTTGGGCTAGATTTAGAGGTCTTAAATTGGGCTTTGATCCGCGGGTTTGGCCCAAATAAAACTGCAGTGGTGCGGACTTAGGTTCCATAAAATTTATCCAAATAAAATGTGGGTTTTGCGATTCAAATCCGCGTAAAAGTTGGGTTTTTGCAGGTCGGGTCAAAGCGGATCCGCGGGTTTGCAAGCCAACCCGCAAAATTTGATGTTTTCTTGTAAACTTCGAAAAGTGAAGTATTTTGTCATTTTTGATTGGTGGATTTTGAAGTAGTAGTTTCATGGAGTGAATCGAAGCCTACTGGAGTCATACAATTCAGCTATTGGACTTTGTGATAGCTTCATTTCAATGAGATCAAGGAATCATCAAACTAGTATGTGTTTCAGATTCTGTGATTGGATTTTTGAATTAGGAAGAAAATCTGGTCATTGTCTTCCCGGCTAAAAACTAGTATTTTTTTTTAATTTTAATTTCAATTTAATGTCATAAGTTTGTTTTTTTTTTGTTGGTTTTGCTCATCGACTATATCACGGACGTGGTTTTTCTTTAGAATCGCTTAAATCTTGAATTGACAATAAATAGTTTTGCTTGAAAATCACATTTTTTTGTACGCTGGACTAAACAAATAAGCTTTCTTTATCTTTTTTTTTATATATATTTGTGAATGTCTTGTTGCTTGTATTTTGATGGTTATTTAGCTTAAACTACTAGTTTTTATGTGTATCATTATTTGTAATTCATTTATTTCTTTTTCAAAACTAAGTGTCTATTTTTACCGTTAAATTGATTTTTCAAATCTTATGGTATCATAGGGTTAGGAGTTTTGTATAAGAGGTTTATCGAATTCATTTGTTTGTTTATTGAATTTGCTTACACAAGAATTTCTTTAGTTTTGTTTCTTATGCATATTGTGATTCAGTTACGAATAAAATTTTATTCTCCTCTTGTAGATTTTTTGGTACTATAAATCTAAATGTCATAAGAACTTTAAGATGAAAAAGAAAGTATGAACCCGCGGGCCAGCCTGCAAAACCACAGAATATAGGCGGTCGGGCTTGGACACATCAATTTGAGATTGCAGCTTATGATGGGCCAGTCCGCCAGACCTGAAAAAAATTAAATTCGCATCGGATTTGGCTATTTAGACGCGGGTTAGCCCGTTTGACATCTCTAACTAGATTCTCAAACGGTCCAAATAGAGATTTTGTGGCCCGAAGAATTAACCAAACGTTACCTCGATTTCGGCATCCAGCATTCCAAACTATATCAATTATTACTTAGGCAAACAAAATATCTGACTTGGTCCAAGATATATTCTATAATGGTTCGAGGTCTTTATAGAGATCGCAGAGGGGGTTCATCATCATGACTCAAAGACTTAATTTTAGACAGATCTTTTTCCAGCTTTAATCACACTTCGCTTTATGTGCTCTACTTGTAATTATCTTTTCGAGATAAACTTGTACTCATTCATATTTGATTAATACAAAATATAATTTCTTCAATATTTTTACGATCGATTCAAAGATAAATTTGGTCCATCATTATAATACCCTATTCCAAAACCTCTACACAAATTTATGAGTGGAATTTAGCATCGACAATACTCTCTTGTATAATAGAGTAAAACAAAAATATTGTGACTTTGGGTCAGGTCGTAATTGGGTTGAAGTCTCGAATCTTAGCCAATTTTGCTGATCTATACTACTCTCTCCGTTTCACAAAGAGTGTCGTTTTAAAATTTTATTTTTGTTTCACAAAGAATGTCATTTTATATTTTCAATGCAAAATTTTAAACAATATTCCAGTTTTAACCCTATTAATTTAATGTATTTATTAGATAAAAACAAATTATTTAATGTATTAATAAGGGACAAAGTTGTACTTTTAATAATTTTCTTAATATGTGTGAAAAATATTAGAATGACACTCTTTATGAAACGGATGGAGTATTAAAATAGAGATGAGCCTAAAAACCTCAACCCAAAAAAAACGAACCGATAAGTAATTCAGTTTTGTTATGGTTTAATCTAAAGATCTGTTTGGTTTTTTATTTTCATTAAGCTTTTGATTTCGGTTTAGGTTGTTAAAAATCGTAAAACCAAGTAGTATTTTTGGTTTTAAATTAGGTTTACAATAACAGTATTATCTTTTCTACATTGAGCTTGTCTTTGAAGTTTAGTAAATTAAATGGTTTAGTATTTGAGAAACAAGAGCTTTGTAAGAGATATTTTTAAGTTTTAATCAAGTTTAAGAGTTTGTTTCATCTAATTTTTCTTCATTTCTTATTCTCTAATCATGAAATCTCATATTTCCTTCATGGGTTTTGTGGGTTTCAATATGATTAGTGAGTAAACCTTTTTAAAGTTCATGAGTGTGGTAGATTAAGGTAGTTTGATGATTAATCTATGATGTTTAGGGCTTAGTTTTTTTTTTTCCTTATTTAGTGATCCTAATGGTAGACCTCTCTTGATCAGCTTGGTCTAGACTCTAGGGAATTTTATGCACTACAAATATTTGATAAAATTTTCCAAAAAACCAAATAAAAATTTTGCTGCTTAACGCATGAGAATAAATGTTACTCATGAGAATGAATGTTCAAGGAGTGAAATAGTGAACATAACTTATTTATAATTAATGCTTGGTAATGAACTTTTCACAAATGAAAATTTGATTTTGATTAAGTTAATTAACAAAATGATTAATCTCATGAAAATGAAGTAATCTTGTTTAAGTGTTCTAGACTTAAGGAATTTGCTTGATTGTTTGAATTAGCATCATAGATTGTTTTTTAGATCACCCAAAGTTAAAATAACCACATCCAAGAGCTTGCCTTTATCATGTTGCTTAATCTTGTTTAGTTTTTGCTTAAGTTGTTAGCAGCTTGTTTGCTTAGTTTTCTTAATTTGAACAATAGGTGGTTAGATACAAATCAAAAACTGTTTGTTTAGCTTGACTTAAGAAGTTTCTTGTATCCTTGTTGGTTCAAACTTAACCCATAATGGATTGATACTTAGGCTCTGATTAGTATGGACTGTGGGCTGTAGGCTTTTTTTTTAGATTTGACTGTAAAAACTTGTACTGTTAAAAAAATGACCGTGGCTTAATAAACAAAAAAAGCCACAATTGTAAACTTTGGAAAAATCTGTTGATTCCATGACCAAAATACAAAGAAAATGGCTGTAAGTATTTTTAGGAGCAGTTTTTAAACTTTAAAAGCTTTTAAATCAATAAAGTCTGATTGGCTAATTAATGATTTTTAAGACATTATTTTTGTTTAAAAGCCTTTACAGTTATTAAAATCCATTTGCCAATCAGAGCCTTATTATGCTACATAGCATCCAGAGTTAATTGATTTTAGATAGACACAAGAATTCTACTATCAATTTGGGCTGTTGATAAAAAAAAATAGAGAATTTTCCATTGATATTATAAGTATAAAAATTAGTTGATAAATTGCTAGATAATTTGATAAGATAATATGATACTAAATTTTAAAAAAAAAATCTGATAAATAGTTCTATTAAAATGATAAAATAAGAAAATAAGAAAATAAGCAAGATTTAACATCCTCCACTCAATTGTAAGATAAATAGATTAGAAGTTAGAAAAAATTATATATCAAACATCATCCACCATTAAGTTACATAGAAAAAGAATATTACTTATAAAATGTTAAGTTTCATGGGTTTTTGATGTGGAAAAATATTCTTCACATGCCCTCTCAAGATGGTAGCTCTTCTAGTCATTTATTTCGAAAGAATTTCAATATATTATATTTTAAATTAGATTAGTTGGACTATATTTTTGGGTCTAGGTGAGATAGTAGTAGAGTAATGATTAATTTTATGTCAGATCGAGTATTTAGGTAGAATGGGGCAGCGTATGTGTTCCGGTTAATTCTGAGTTCTGATACTATGTTAAGTTTCATGGACTTCTAACTCAAAACTAATTGCCTGATTTGGAGTTGATTTAACTGGTTCATGTAGCTTCACTACCGATTTGGACTTTAAGATTTGTGATACGAATGCTAAATCTCTGTTGGATGTCTCGTTAATCACATACATATGAGCAGATGATGCAACATAAGATATTACGACTATTTCGGTACTAGATGTCACAACCGTGTCGACATAAGTGTCAGAACAATCATGAGTGTCATAGTTTATAAGAAGGTTGACTTGCTCGCATTCCCTTCCTATAAAGAAGGTGGCGCCACGAGAATTTTTGTGATACCTTCCTTGAAACTTCTGCAACGAGTCAACCTCTTCTGACATTGCAGAGTCAACATTTCTTCTTCTTGAACGAAGATACCCATCTATATGCAATGATGCTTCAATGCAGCAAAACGGCCGAATTCTTGTGGCCACCTCTGTTGTAGAAACAGAGTGCGAGCGATTAAACCTTGATATAATTTTTGACCTTCCGGATTGTGATGACAAATATGTTAAAAAAAATTGGTAATGAATGGATTGACCTAAATCTACGTTCCTTCTCTCAATTTCTGATGTGGGATAATATTCTTCACATAACCTAAAACTACCTATATTATTCACTTCATGAGAATATTACCAAACATTAAACTATTTTCACTATATAAGTGGATGATTGAGCATTGTAGTGTCAATATTGTTTCAAGTGAATCAGTTCTATATCATGTGTGATGTATATAGTGAGTCTCTGTTTGAGTCACTGATCTTTTTGAGTCTTTGTTCCCTTCAATATAGAAAAGAAAATGAATATGATGTTGCGTTTTTCAAAATATCAAAAGCATATATCTCAAGAACAATGCATTTAATTTGACTCAATCATTCTTCCTTTTCTTGCAAGCCATTTCTTCCATGTATCATTTTCATGACCAACAAATTTTACATCAGATTTTCAATTTACAAATAAAAAAGGCAATTACCAAATATGGTCAAACTCATTTCACTTCAAGTCCTTACGATGGCCACGAGTATCTCATATACAAGTTGTAAACATTACTTGTGTTTTTAATAAAAGAACATATTTTCATTATTGCACTATTTTTGTATTGGCCTCAAAAGAGGTACAACTATTGTCACTTTTCATGATACATTTAAACTTTTGATTTATTATGTAATTGTTTTTTATAAATTATATAATATATATATAGATATCAACTATTAAAAATTGATGTGGCTTACTCTTCACGAGGTAATTCGCTATAAAGAAGTTTGTAAACGAAGTGTATTGAGTGAAATGTGATAGACTGTATGGATTGTTGATGGGCGGGATAGAGAAGTTATTTGCTGCACAAGTCGTTCAAATTATTGTTATCTTTATGTAGGTGACGTTTACAATCTCACCCTTGATTCATGAACTATATAGAATCAATATTCTCAATATTTCCACAAATGAAGAGCTTGCAGAAACTGATATGACAAGTCATGGTGGAGTTGCTTTTGCTTATCAAGATGAGGATGTCGTATCCCAAAGACCATGCGACTTGACTCAAACAAACATATGTTTGATATGACGAACAAATTCACAGGATAAAAAAGTAAAAGGGTATTGTGCCTTCCAAATTAATTTCACATGCGTTGCAGCGTTGAATGAAAGTATAATATAAAAAGCTTGACGATTAGAAAAACCTTGATATAATCGTATGTTTTTCTATTTTAAACTATGTTGTGTCTAATTTCTTATGTGTTTAGAATTTTTGATCTTGATAATATATAATCATATAATATATATAATATATAATAAAATATATAATTATATATAATATATAGCCAATGAATGAGGGGTTATAAAAAAACTATTAAAATTTTAAGTTTATCTTTGGTTAAATACACAATATAATGAAAAGTTTTAACATCATCAAAATTTCTTTCTTACCGTATTAGTTAACAAAATATGGATCAACCCTTAGGCAAAAATAAAAGAGAATGTAATCGATAATCGGTTGAAAATGGTTAACCATTCGGTTTTGTGTATCAGTTGTTTAAATATCGCAAAACCCTAATTTTCATTCTTATTTTGTTTTTCCACAATCAATGACCCGGTAATTTCTTTCATCAAGGATCATCTGCGCGTCAAGCCGATGAATCTGGTAGTTTCTTAGATTTGCTCTGAGGTTATTGCTCTTTGTCTTGCTTTTACTATGAAAAATTCACTGATCTGTTCGGTTTTCTTTACAGAGTAACCGAGAGCAAAAACGGACCTACTCGTACGATTGAATATTCTAATATATACAGTAACTTATTTAAAACTATAAGGAAATGTTAAATCCAATGTTTGAATATTCTTCATTTCAAAAATGAAAAACCTGATAAAATAAAGTTTAAAGTATAAAACTGAGTATAAGCAAGAGACAAATGACAATAGTTGAATTGAGATTTTGAACGGTGCTAATTATATTCACCATAAAAAAATAAAATTTCAAGGCATGATTTTGAGCCTTCAGATCTCTAAGGCACATGTTGACATTTCATCCGAACCTAGATTGATATTATACCTGTCTAAAATATAAAAAAATATATCTGAATGATGAATACACATTCACTTGCTGAAAATTTAAACTTGAAAGTTTTCATACCTTCTGAATGTTTCAGATTCACTGGTGTGTCTCTACTTAGGCGTTCTAATTTTTTTTCAATAATCTGTCTTTCATAGTAGGGATATTTATCGTAGTGACTCTCATCTCCAATATGGAACAAAGTTTATGAACATTTGAAGTCAAATAGCATCAAACAAGTTTTCTAATTTTTGAACTGATGTTGTTACGTTCTGTCTCCATTTCACGTTTGTGTTTCAGAACCGAACAATTGCATCATGAAGTTTTGCGATATATTTATTTGTAACTGATGCAAGAGTTAATTGGTCATGTGGTAAACCATTGGTTGGGGGTTTGGAATTGTGACAATAGACTGGTTTGCATAACTTGGCAAGGGTTTCATGGAGGGAGACTTAGCTCTCATGTAGAAGGTTAGTTTCCCGATTTACTTCACTTGAGGAACTGATGAATGAAAGATCATACTTACAGTTTGGGATGAATGAAAGATCATACTTACAGTTTGGGATGAATGAAGGATCATACTTAAGTTTGGGAATCTTCTGTATAGCTACTCACTTTGTAGTCTCAAAATGTATGTACGTCATGCCTGAATATACAAGTATGTATTAGTTACTCAGTTTGTTGTCTCAAAATGTATGTACGTCATGCCTAAATATACAAGAATGTATAGCTATTCAGTTTGTTGTCTCAAAATGTATGTACTTCATGCCTAAATATACAAGAGAAGACGGCCAAACACACATGTTTTAGATATTTGGAGGATGTCATCTCATCACGCACATTTATTCATTGGATAATCCATCGGATTGCTACTAACAGGAGAGAGTTTCTAGTCAATGCTTGTTATTTGTTTACAGACATCTTAGGTAAGACCTCATCAAGTGGTAAATTTAGTCGAGTGTAAAAGAAGGCTAAGTGCCTAAACCAAAATCTTCTTGGTGTAAAACACATTCTTGAAGTGAAAAAAGCAACAATTTCATAAAGATGAGAAATCATTGCTATTAATTAGAATACAACATAGCACCAGAAGTCTTTGACCTTCAGAAATGAGCATTTACAGAAACATGAATATTCTTCAACTCTCTTACAAGCTTGGTTAACTTGTGTTCTATCGCTTAACTATTTAGTAGACATAAGGGAAAATGGCGAACCGGTTAGCCGGATAATTCTCAAACTTCCGGAGATACCACCGGTGAGTTTCTCCAGCCGCCAAAGTAAGATTCCCAACCTACAAAAAAAAGAGACATGAATACAGTTTCTCTGAATCCAAACAACCTTCAGAACAAAACGTTTCATTAGTGATTTTCTATAGGAAAGTTCACCGTACCACGAAACTAAAGAGTAACCAGATCGTAATATCTGTTCCTCCACTCGCAATCAGCAAGCCAGCGTATAAAACCTAAATTCCAGAGCATCATACCATTAACGAAGAGAAGGAAAGAAAGAAGAACATGAAGATATCTATCTATTAGGGAGGTATTGTATTACAATTTCTGCCAAGTAATGTGGACTAGAGACGATTTCAAACCAATCTCCATGCGGAATTATATACTCCTTCGCTTGGCTAGGATTTTCCCGGAGCGATCCCTGCATTTACATTTTTGTATCTTTAAGGATCTTAAACACATGCATTTACATTTTTGAATCATTAAAAATTCTTAAACACACACAAACAATGAGACAAAACTGTTAGAAAAACTAACGAGAATTGCGTGACATCGGCGTTGATGAAACCATCCCCAGAGAAAAATGACTCCACCAATAAGCTGGCACGACCCAAGCTTCATCAGAGGGCTTATAGATAACAACAAATCAAACTCAGGAGCTGCGGTATGGCTTTTTCCTTTAGCAATGAACTCTGCAACTTGATTTCCTGCAAATCTTGCTACCTCTGGAGCGATAATAGAGCAGAGTGACAAAGGCGCTGCTGTATAAAAACTAGAAAAACCCAAATTAAAGCCAATCAAAACTATAGACTACTTAGAATGTGAGGAGTTTTTGTTGAGAAACTTACAACCATCCAGCGAGATAACCAAGAATGTGAAGTCGAGCAGAAGGGCTATATTTGAACACATATATTGACTCTATAAGGCGTCTTAAAACTTGGATTTCCATTAGAAGAAGTAGAAACACTGCTCGCCACACTTTAAACCGATGCTCGACAGGAGTCAAATGTGATTTATGAAAGGAGAAAACATGTGAGCCTCCGGTTAAGTGGCTTGCAATGTCGGAAAACTGAAACTCCTCAGGCGACAAAGGCGCCATTTTGCAAGCATACATCCAAGTGGTAGCGAGCAGGAGAGTCGTCCACGCCACTCCGATAACGTAGAAGTGAGCGAAAAATTTCTGAGGAACTGTCCACTTCTGCATCAACAACAAGAAAGGAAACAAGCAATAGAAGGATTTAAGGGTCTGACAGAATCTGAAAAAGGAAAACTTGCAATAACTAGAAACAGAGCAGTTCTGAAACTAAAACTGAAACCTGAGATTCAAACTAAAAGTAAGCCTGCTTTTCACTTGGGAGACTAACAATTTCAGTTTACAAAATCGGATTTGAAGGTGGAGAAATTTACAAAACCGAAAACATCCGACTACAAAAACAAAAGTGTAATAAAATTCAAATCCTTTCCACAATCAGCAACCGAAAGAGAAGAGTTCTGAAACTAAAAGATTAAAATGCATGCTACTCACTAGGAGCCTTAAATATTCAATCGGATCAAAACATGATTAAGCAAATCTGATTTAAAGGTCGAGAAATTAGAATTTTAATTCCCTTTTCACATCCAGCAACGGAAACGCATGAAATCAAACTTCCATTATCACAGCTATTGAATAAATTCTCAATCTTTACCCTACAAAAAGTTACAAATTAATTTACAGTAGAACTAGAGAAGGAGGAAGATGTTACGAACCTGAGACGACGACGGCTGAAGAATCTTGCCTCTCCTGGCGAAACTCAAAACGAGTTCATGAAAAGATCTCAGCTTGGAAATGGGTATCGAAGCGATAACCATAGGAAGTATAGCACCGATCCAAGCGGCTCTAACCAACCAAACAATCCCTAATTCCATACTTTTTTTTCCTTTCCTTCTTCTTCTCTCCAGATAGTCAATGATCGTAAACCTCTGTAATTAAACAACTGGGGCGAAATCAACTTAAAAATCAAAACTTTCCATGTAGGAGATTGCTGGAAACGGAAGGCAGGAGGGGAAAATCGAATATGAAAGAAAGTAGAAATTAAAATCGATTGAAAAGAAATGAAATTTGCAACGGGCAAGTTAAGATCTCTTTCTTTCTGTTTTCTTCGAATTTCGTGCAGAGGGAAAACCTGTTGAGAAGTCACTTTGTTGGGTCCTTTAATTACATCGTGACTTCGCTTCGACCACAATCCACGTGGGAATCGATGTCAATGTGTTATGTGATCTCTCTCCAGTTCAAGTCAATGGATGTAATTAAATTAGGTTACTTACGTACAGTCTTGCAATTAATGGGTTGGTTTGATATTTTATTTTACTAGTGTCTATACTTTCAACAACTGTTCCTTAAATAATTTAAAAAGGTAAAACTCAACATAAAAATTATTGATTGTAGGAATAACATTTGAAAATTTGATGGTGTCAAATGTATGTAATCTACTTTTGATAGATCTATGTGGAATCAATTGCTTATGTAAGAAAAAACTGATTTTTGTAACGATAAGGAAACAATAGGATAGTGGTAATATAAGTGATATATATATTATAGCATTATAGTGATTTAAATAAATAATAAAAACAGACTAAATAAAAATGATTAATTATTTAAGAAAATAATAATTTAAACATTCAATACTGTAGAAATTCGATAAATTAATAATTTTTCATAATTCCGAGTTGGGCCAGTTTAAAATATGACATAATTCAATAAAATAATAAAATAATAACTTTAACAAAATTTCTAGTAAATATATGATCCCATTAATATCATAAATTAATAATTACCATATATAAAATCTGATTTAAATATATACATAAGATAATCTACTAAAATACGAGTATAATGATATTTTTTATTTATTTTAAATTAAAATTTTTTTGAAATTCATCTTAAGTTTTAGAATTTTTTTTAAAAAAATTATACAATCTTTTTTTAAATTAATAAAAAATAAAAAATATTTTTTTTGAAATCTATAAATTAATAACTTTATAAATTAATAAAATATCAAAATCTCAACATTATTAATTTATAAAGTTTTTACTGTATTATTATTATTAAAAAAAGTTGTTTGACAATAGAAAGTTACTTAAAAGTTCATATAGACATTATATCGAACACCTAATCTACAATATTATCTATGAAACCAAAAACTATCATACCTTTTCAAAATTTCTAATTCCATAGTGTATGTAGCTTTAGAATAAAAAGTTTTTGAATTAAATCACTAATCATGAAGTAAATCTAAATTCAAAAACTAATCCTCAAAAATCACAAAGGAGGAAACTTACCTTGAGTGAGAGACACCGAACACTGATAAGTGATAAAGCCGGTTATGGAGACGACGCCGACGGTGATGGAGACGATGCCGGTGACAAACAAAAACACCGGTGACAGATCGATGCGATGGAGATGATGTGAGAACAGAAGCAAAATGGTAAAGATATCTATTGTTTTTACTTAAATCAAGGGCATAAGTGTAATAAAGCCATCGCGCTTCTTTGTTTTCTTTGTTCCGTGCCTCTTACGCAACTTTATTTTTTCTATCATTTTCTAGCGTATTATATAGCATTAATTTTAAGTAAATATGTTTATGTCGAAAAAGATAAAATTTAAGTAAATTTGTATGATATATAGTTTCAACGTAGAGCACATTCATGAATCATGTACGTAAGCAAATATGCACTAAACAGCCTGTGCATATATGTTAACGCAGATAAAAGATCTCCAAATCCTAAACAAAAGGAATCTATGGATAATTTCCCACTTTATCATTATCACACACAGAGTACAGCTGCTTAATTTGTTGCTCATTACGGAAATCTTAACTAATACACGAATTTACATTCACTATATAATCAAACCATGTTAACACAATCAACATTCACAACTTACAAAAACAAAATAAACGACTTTTCTTATATTATATCTACAGAAGAAGAAAAACATTTTCATCTTTTCTTTTTAAATCATAGAGGGCAAAATAGCGGCAATGTTGGTGACTATGATGATAGTGATGGTGATGGGGAACATTCTGATTCAAACAGAGGCTCAGACAATTCCCTTTAAAGAAAATTATCCAGCTTGTCTTATAATGTGTAAATCTCAGTCAAAGTTTCCAAAGTATCTTTTGTGTCCATTCACGTGTACCAAAACATGTCTTCGACAATCTTCTCTACAATCTTTTTCTTCATACAAAATCGATAATTCTGAGTATTTTTGTAAACTCGGTTGTGCAACTCATCATTGTGTCTCCCTTTCCTCCCTCCAAAATCCGAGTAAGTTTTCATTTTCTTATATTCTTTTTGTTTCTTTTCTGAAATTCATTAGTTTCAAAATATTTTGAATTTCCACACAAAAAGTATTTGAAATGAGCATTTTAATATATTTCGATCCCTAACCTATTGCAATTTTTGTTGTTGGTGTTTAATGATCTATGGACAGATGTGGAGAGAGTCTCAGCCTGTGTGGATTCATGCTCAAATAAGTGTACCAAGGAAAACTAGAAGCGATTTTTTCTTCTACAAGAATCGATGTCTAAATAAAAAAGATATGAACCATTATTTTGTATCAATTCACATTTAAATCCAGCGATAACTATATTTTATCCATTATATTTTGTGTTACAAGAAAATTAAATTGATATAACCGGAACATAATAAGCTAAAATAATTAAGAGAATGTTTGACACTCACAATTGCTTTCATAAGTGACAAAAAAAATATATCATTTCATCCAGTGCTGATCCTAGCTAAAAGTGAAACAAGTATGTGTTTCCAATCCTCAATTATTTATAACTTCTTTTCGGTTGATTTTACCAAAGTATATCATAGCTCTATTGGTTTTAGACTAGATAGAGAGATGGTAGATTCAAATATCATGACTTGCACAACCATATATGTAAATTAGTTTTTTTTTTTGTTCTAGTCCTTAATTTTCCAGGGTCAGCGGTATACTATTTAATTTTATTTAACCAAAAGATAAAAAAATATATAATGAAAGAATAATTCATTACTATTTAATTTCAACAAATGTTTAAGTGTGGTCACGTATTTACTAAGTTATATAATAGACTGCAATCCGACTTATGATTTTTAATAAAATTATGAATTTTTTTACAAATTATATTAAATTTACTCCAAAAAGATTATGAAATTTTACTAATTATATTATATTTACTCCAAAAAGATCATATAATTTTATGTATTGGTTTTAGAATAAATGAAATTGTATGTCTTAAAACTATTTTAAACATTGAATTTATGGTTAAAAAAAATACAAATACAATATTCTTAAAATGCCATGATGACATATTATTATATCTAATGTTTTTCATAAGTTTTTTCATAAGGTTTGTCTTATATAATTACTTTCCTGGTCCGCTTGAACAGGAAGGGGTTACTGTGGAAGTATTTCCCATTAGAATGTTAGATGTTACTCGAGCTAAGAGCAGTGGCGGAGGCACAAAAATTTTTTACATGGGTCAAAATATTTATTATCTAAAAAAATTATATAAATTTCATTGAATAAAAAATTTCACCATTGATAAACATCTTATAGATGCATTTTATGCTCACTCATATTTTAAAATTATTTGATTATAGTTTCATTATTTTATCACAGTTTTATAATGATAGTTTCAAATACTTGTTTTTCAATAAAACAAATTAGACAATTGCTTAAAAACTCATCACTAATAATATTAAGCATAGTCGTATTCACAAATTTTATTTTTCGGCAAGGTCCCTTTCTAAATTATATCAGTTTTAAAAAAAAAATTTAAAATTTATCTAAGTAATTATTATTTTAAGATGAACTCTTATTCATAGTGCTTCCGCTTCTAAATTGAAGCACTTTACAATATGGGACAATTATAAACTTTGGCATGAATTTTTATTTTATAATTTTTGTGATCGTTATTGGATCAACATTCTCTAATATTTATTAAACTATCTTAAATTTTAAATTTTAGAAGGATCAATTCTTATTTTAGATTTGGATAATAGACCAATTAAAAAAACTCAACAACAATTTATTTATTTTTCAGGATTTCACCTGGGGCAGCTGACCCTCCTCAACTGAAGCTGGCTCCGCCACTGGCTAAGAGACGAGATGGGTTTGTGAGGATTCTTCAGCTAAGTTTGATTAGCTAAAAATAAAACGCGTCATTAAGCTTTGTAATATTCTCGGAAGTAAAATCTTTCTTCGTTCATTTGTTTATTGAGTTTTGACCATACGATCAAACATATTTTCTTTATATTTTTTAAACAAGGGAACCTTCATTAAACGTAAATTCTATGGTGTTGACAGAAACAATGGGCCGTTAATGACTGACTCATTGTATGGAGCGAACACTTTTTCCATCGCCTTATAGGGGGACGACTAAACCAGTTCAAAAGAGATTGATTTGTGACCATTCTTGTGGCAAATGTTTTTTTTTTTTTTTAATCACAAATCGAAAGTTTTAGGTTCTTATATAATGCTGCTAACTAAAATGTGTAAGTTATATTAATACGACCTAGTAATTTATGAAGTGAATTAATTATTTTACATTATTAATTCTTTAAATTTACATTTTATTACACCAAAAAAAAATCCCACTGTAATTATAATGTAATTTAACCAAAAACAGAGTTAAAAAGATGAAATAGTGTACTCCTAGGATACCAACCAAAATTAACATGCACGCATGAGACGGCGACGTTGTGAAGTCAATTATATATGTAAATGTGTAATATATATTAACACAGAGCTAATAAAATCATTGAAAATGAATCCAGATATCAAAATTAAGAGGAAATACGTATATCATTGCGCTTGCCGAGAAAATCATAACGATTCATTTCGGATTAATGGTTTTTCTTTTCAACTCTCACCTTGCCTAAACACACAATTATCTATTCACGTACGTAACTAGTTTTTGCTCTAAACAGATGATCCACGCGGTTATATGTTTGCTTTTCAACGAGAGGTTAATGAGTCTACTTTAATTTGTTTGAAAAAAATGAGCAGGCTAGTTAATGATTGAATAAATAAATTTTCAGATTTTTTTTGAACTTACGAACATGCCAGTTGTTGAAGACGTGCATATATATAGGTGTGCCCTGAATCCATTATGCATCATAAACACAACTTCTCTCTACTAATTCCTAATTACTAAAAAGTTACAACACCAAGTACTCTCTTAATTACTTTTTGTTGTTCTTCTTCTTTTCTTTTTCTCTCTCAAGATGGATCATAAATGGGTTTCGGAAGTATTATCCATGGCCACCATTGCGCCGAAGAATGTGGAAAAGGCCAATGAAGCTTACAGGTTTGCCATTGATTCAGGTTTGGCAGACACTAAGTTCCATTCCGAGACTAGAAATGTCCATTCACTTATGGCTAATGCCGTCAATAAGGCCGAGTTTGTTACAAAGAACATGCCAAAATGGACGACAAGAGAGAGCTTGCTATATGGCCCATATCTGACGACACCGCCACGCAAAGAGATTTCGAGATACGATAAGCTGGCGCGTGAAGCCCTTGAGGATTCAAAATTAGCGCTTAGTCAAACGGAATCGGCGGTTTCTGATGCAACAGCAAGGAAGAAAGAAAGGCAAAAGAAAAGAGAAAAGAAAAGGGGGAATCATCAAGCAGCTGGAAGAAAGCAAGGAAGTAACAAAACCAGGAGGGAAGGGAGCAATGCATGATTAATGAAGACGATTATTCATATACTATATCGTAATTAAGTTATTAAATCTATATATTTCTAAGAGAACTAATTAAGATAAGTTTATGTGTTAAGAGTTTCTAAAGTCGTTTCCTTCACTACTTAAAATTGGAAGGGGTTTAGCGTTGGTTTGATAAGCAACTAAACGTTTCTTACCATATCAATATATATGGAGAAAATTAATGTTTCTGAGTCTGTGTAATGGGTTCTATCTAAGGCCCTTTATTTAATAAAAAATTAGTGTTGTGTTTGACTATTTTCCATCGAATAGCTTGATTCCAACAAGGCTTAATTGCAGATTCCATTAAAGGATATTATTGATTTGTGAAGAATATTGGACGGTGAATTTCAAATCTGAGGAAGGATAAATTGAGTTAGGGTCACTTTCGATTGGATTTCAGTTTTTTTTTTCGGTCTTGAACATCCCTCTGAATTTCGAAAATGTTAAGGTGACAATTTTTTATTTTGTTCACTGATTTCAGGTGTTTAAGCTCATTGCTGCTATAGGGTTAGCTCTCATTGCTGCTATAAATGTTAAGGTGACAATTTGTATGATGGTAGTGGTAGTGATTCTAGTTATCAATCAAGGTTACCTCTCACTAGCTAAAAACTCCTAATTTTTGATAGGCTCTAAGTTAATTTCATATGCCCTTGTAAGTTCACCCAATATCTGATCTTTACCCTTGCAAATTAATATGATAATAACAAGTGTGACAAAATGGATGTGATCCATTTGGTACCCGATTTATATTGGCATTTCCCTTAAGGCATAATAATCTTCTTAGGACTCTAACACAGGAAAATATATTTTCTCTTGGCATGTTTAATCATATATGCTGTTTTTGGTATGTTCAATTATATGGTATGATCAAAATGGATGTGATCCAAGTGGTTGTGATAGTGAAGATAGACAGCATCAGGTGTGAATACATGTTTTTTTTTCCTTTTGTGAAAAGAAAACACAAAAACCTCTGGTTTTGAGTAAGTGGCCTATATAAAACTTTCATATCCTTATAAACTCACTTAACCACAGAATATTTGTAATAAACAGTTAATGGTTCCAAAGCCAGAGTGTCTTTACCAGTATCTGAGTGTTTCCTTGAGATTGGTGTATTGAGATGGTAAAGAATTCAACAACAAAATTGATCTTTAAAGATGTAATAGTTTTTATGTATTATGTTCTCATAGATACCAACCAAAATTAAACATGCGTATGAGACAGCGACCTAAATGTATAAATTATACTAATACGACCTAGTAATTTTTGATGAAGTTAATTAATTATTTTACATTATTAACTCTTTAGCAAAAGACTTTACATTTTCTTTAACCAAAACAAAATCTCACTGTAATTATATTGTAATTTAACCCCCCCCCCCCCAAAAAACAAAACAGAATTAAGAAGGGGAAATAGTGTACGTTTAGTTACTTTAGTATACCAACCAAAGTTAACATGCACAAATGAGACGGCGACGTTGTGAAGTCAATTATATATGTAAGTGTGTAATATATATTAACACAAAGCTAATAAATTATTGTAAATGAATCCAGATATCAAAATTAAGAGCAAAAACGTAAAGCATTGCGCTTGTAGAGAATATCACGACGATCCATTCGGATCAATGGTTTTTCTTTTCAACTTTCACATTGCCTCAAACACAATAATCTATTCACGTACGTAACTTGGTTTTTGCCCTAAACAGATGATCCACGCGGTTTTGCTTTTCAACGAGAGGTTAATGAGACTACTTTAACTTTCTTTAATTTGTTTGACAAAATGGGCAGGCTAGTTAATGATTGAATAAAAAAGTTTTCAGAAATTTGTTGAACTTGCGAACATGCAAGTTGTTGAAGACGTGTATATATATAGGTGTGCCTAAATCCATTATGCATCATAAAATAAATTCTCTCTACTAATTCCTATTTCTAAAATACTTACAACACCAAGTACTTTCTTAATTTCTTTTTGTTGTTCTTCTTCTTTTCTTTTTCTCTCTCAAGATGGATTCTACTAAGTTTTGGGAAATATTATCCATGGCCACCAATGTTCCGGAGAATGTGGAAAAGGCCAGTGAAGCTTACAACTTTGCCATTGATTCAGGTTTGGCAGACAATAAGTTCCACTCCACGACTAGAAATGTCCATTCACTTATGGAGAGAGCCATCATGAAGGCCAGCGAGGTTAGAGATAGCTTGGTACATCAGGAGACACCGGAAGCTATTTCGTTTTACGATAATATGGCGCGTGAAGCCCTTCAGGATTCAAAATCAGCGCTTCGTCAAATGGAAATGGCGGTTTCTCAAGCAACAGCAAGGAAGAATGATAGGGGAAAAGAAGCGGGGGAATCATCAAGCAGCTAGAAGAAGGCAAGGAAGTAACAAAACCAGGAGGGAGGGGAGTATTAATTAAGTTAAGGTTTATGCGTCAAGAGTTTCTAAAATCGTTTCCTTCACTACTTAAAATTGGAAGGGGTTTAGCGTTGGTTTGATTAACCGACTAAACTTTTTTTACCATATGAATATTTATGGATAAAAAAATAATGTTTCTGAGTCTGTGTAATGGGTTCTATCTAAGACCCTTTATTTAATCAAAAAATTAGTGTTGTGTTTGACTATTTTTCATCGAATAGTTTGATTCCAACAAGGATTAATAATAGACTCTGTTAAAGGATATGATGGATTTATAAAGAATATTAGACGGTGAATTTCAAATCTGAGGAAGGATAAATTGAGTTAGGGTCACTTCCAATTGGATTTCAGTTATTTTATTCTCGGTCTTGAACATCCCTCTGAATTTCGAAAATGTTAGAGTGACAATTTGTAGTTTGTTCAGTGATTTCAGGTGTTTAAGCTCATTGTTGCTATAGGGTGGTTAATGTTTATGAAGGTAGTGACTCTAGTTATCAATCAAGGTTACCTCTCACTAAAAAATCCTAATTTTTGATCGGCACTAGGTTGATTTTTTATGCCTTTGTAACTTCACCCAATATCTGATCTTTGTCCTTGCATATATGATAATAACAAGTGTGATCCATTTGGTACCCGATTTATATTGGTTCTTCCCTTAAGGCATAATAATCTTTTTAGGACTCTAACACATGAAAAGATAATTTCTTAGCATGTTTGATCATATGTGCTGGCTTTGGTAGGTTCAATAATATTTGGTAGGGTCAAAATAGATGTGATCCAAGTGGATCGATGTGATTGTGAAGATAGACAGCATCAGGTATATATATATATATATATACATATTTTTTTTTCTTTTAAAGAAAGAAGACACAAAAACTTTGGTTTTGACTAATTGGCCTATATAAAACTCTCATATTCTTATAAACTCAGTTAACCACGGAATATTTTTAATAAACAGTTCATGGTTCCAAAGACAGAGTGTCTTTACCAGTATTTGAGTGTTTCCTTGAGATTGTTGTATAGAGATGGTAAAGAACTCAACAACAAAATCGCTTGAAACCTCTTCTGAAACAAATATACATTCACACTTCCAACGCTAGAGCCCATTTTCAAGAATTCATCTGTATTTGGTTCAATCGACTTAGATCCCACCATTTTAAGGTATAAAACTTGTGATCCAGATTGAATTATATTGGGAAGAAAATAGAGTTATACAACCCTTCCATCGCAAACCAAATAGACAAAGCTGAATTTTCTTCTCACCACAGTAGTTAACAAATTCTGCACGGAATACAGATCGCCCACTAATAAAAACTAAATTTAATCTATATATAACTTTCAGCAAATAAGCTTATCTATATATATATATATAAAGAACAACTGTCAGCAAATCAATAAAATCCAAAAGGTTTAACAACGACACTAAATCAATGTGAATTTTATTTGACCCAACCAACAATTACAAAAACAACTTGAGTCAAAGATAGTTTAAATTTGTTCGTACTTGCATGAATTTTTTCAGGAGTCATGAATACAAATGATGAAATTAGAGCCGATCCTAAAATTTAAAAAGGTAGCAGCAAAAAAGTTGTGCACTATTTGTGAACATAAGATTTGGATCGTTCATTTCCATGAGTGTTTTTCCTTTCCAATTAGTCGTTTTCTCTTTGTAATTTTTTTTGGGTTCTTTAGAGTATCTCCAATGTAAATTTCCATTTTTTACTCCAAAATGGAGTAACTCTAAAATGGAGTTGTGTTTTGCTCCAATGTATGACTCCATTTTTTACTCCAAAAAAGAATATTCTTAATAGATTCTATTTTTCTTTTACTTTTAATAACCTATAACTTTTAGAAGTTACAAAATAACCCATTTATTTTTATTTTATCTAAAATATTTATAATTTACGAATTTAATAAAATTAAAATATTTATTAAATTAAAAAATTACATAAAATCATAAAAACATAAGAAATTTTATTAAATAAAAAAAATACATAATATCATAATACTTAGGAAATTTAAACATCACAATTACTAAATTTTTCCCACAAATGATTAATTAATGCATTCCGAAGTGAAAAATGAGATTTTTTATCTTTGATTTCTCTAAATCGACCGAGAAACTCTTGGAACCCGATATTGTCATCATCAACTTAATTATTGAACCGATAGTTATATATATATATACATACATAAAGACCATTTTTTAATTATATATATATATATATATATATATATATATATATATAAAAGTCAAAGTAATATGTGTCATACAAATATTAAGTGTATATCTAGAGAAAATACATATAGCCATATATAATATCGAAAATAATGTTGTGTTGATAAAAAGTATAAAATTATAATGATTTAATATATTAAGGATCAGATTGTAAATAAAAAAAAGTATAACTGCAAAATAGAGTAGAATAAAGGTTTACTCCAAACATGGAGTAATCTCTATTTTTTCTCTATTTTGCAGTCAAAAATGGAATAGGGTTTGAATGAAATTTACTCCAAAATGGAGTTTACAGCAAAAAATGGAGCAGGATTGGAGATGCTCTTAGAAAAGAAACTCTGAGCAAATTATTAAACATCGAAAACCATTTTGTCTTCTTGAAAATGCAACAATTCTTATTGTTTAGTTTTCATTATTGATATATTGGTAGAGAATGATGTACGAAACTTTAGAATGGTTTTAATTATTTTTCAAAAAATACATACCAAACTTTAGATCATCCATTGATTTTTAGATCAATGATTTTTTTTTTTTTAATTTAGGTTATGCTTTAATTTGGTAGGTGTTTGAAAAATAAATAAAACCATAAAGTATAAGCACCAATTAAGAAAATTTGATCATGTATCTAAACTGGATCTTATAATAAATTTATGTTTAGTGAAATTTATATCTAAAAAATAAAAATTAATATCATATGTTGTGAAATTATGTTGTTTGTTGTCGTATGATTTTCAGAAAGATTATGAAAGATCTTATTACTTAAAATATGAGTTTGAAACTTTATTTGCAAAGAAGGAGAGAGCTCATCAAAATTTTATTTGCAAAGAAGGAGAGTGAGCTCAAGGTAAAGTAGATTCACTCGAAAGCCCCATGTTTCTTGCGTGTTTGGACATATCTAGTTCATATATGAATATATATACCTAATATATAGGTTTGAGTCTTCAAGTCTTAGTGTTTTAAAACAATATCTCTGAATAGGTTTACATAAAATAAATATATAAAAAGAAAGCAAAATTGACTTTGCGTTTTTCTCATTCACTTATCATAATTACATACGGTATATAGTGCTTTTGATTAAAAATGACTATCGCTAAAAAAAAAATAAGCTTGGTAGTTCCACTTTAAAAAGAGAATCGCCGGAACTTATCCCGGAGAGAGGCTCGTCCGGTAATCCAAACACGTCCTCAGCCTATCAATCACATCGTTAAACCCATCCGTTAAGAGCTAATCATACTTTGAAGCATTTCAATGTCATCGAACAATCCATCACTGACATATCATGCTTGAACACTTGCATATTCAAAAGGATGATTAAAATCCAGTTTAAGTTTCGCAAAATTAGCACAACAAAAAGACTGAAAACGTTACAACTTACAAGAACAAATATCCAGTTCTAGAGAAATTTCAATGTCCAAGCAATCTCTATGTTAAAGAGGAGAAAACGAACCCTACTCATAAAATTTCCAACTCATAGAATTTCCAGCACAACATCCGATAAACCTCAATCTACGGAACATTATGGCCAATAAGTGAAAGATTCATTCCATCAATTAAACTCAAGAACCGAAAATAAAAACATAAGTTTAAAGAACAAAATCTTTCGAGATTCAAACAAAAACATCCTCAACAAAATGCAAACATAAAAGACTTTCTAACGTGAGTATAGGATCCTTGCAGGTCTCTTTTGGCTATCGAACCCAACCTGCTTCGATATTGTCAAAGCTTCCAACAAGACCATCATCAATGAAATCTCCTCCTCCTCGTTTCACCTTAACCTCTGCAGGCTTCACAGGATAATCACCCGTGAAGCACGCATAGCAAAAGCTCTTAGAGTCTTCTCCTAAGTGTTTCTTCAAGGTATCAAACGACAGAAACGCAAGCGAGTCGCTCCCTATAAAATCTCTAATCTCCTCAACACTTAGCCTGTTGGATATCAACTCCTCAGAGCTAGGCGTATCCACTCCATAGTAACAAGAAGCTACAATAGGAGGACTAGCGATCCTCATATGAACCTCTTTAGCACCAGCTTCTCTCAATAACCTCACAATCTTAGAAGACGTCGTGCCTCTCACGATCGAATCATCAACCACAACAACTCTCTTCCCTTCCAAAACACCACGAACAGGAGATAGCTTCAGCTTCACTCCAAAATCTCTAATCTTCTGTGACGGCTCGATGAATGTCCTCCCAACATAATGAGACCTAATCAGTCCCTGTTGAAACGCAACACCAGACTTAGCAGCGTAACCAAGAGCAGCCACAACACCAGAGTCAGGCACAGCAATCACAACGTCGCAATCAACAGGCGACTCTGCAGCCAAAATCTCCCCAAAGACATGCCTAGATTCGTACACGGAACGACCAAACACAATCGAGTTCGGTAACGAGAAGTAAATGTGTTCGAAAATGCATTGCTTTGACTCACCAGAAGGCATCAAACACTGAGACTTGACACCGTCTTTATCCACAACTAAAACCTCACCAGGATAAACCTCTCTTTCGTAAGTCGCTTCAATCAAATCAAGAGCACAAGTCTCGGAAGCGAACACAACAGCTCCGTTGCTTCTCCTACCCATCACTAAAGGTCTAAACCCAAACGGGTCACGAACAGCGACAAGCTTATCCTCAGTAACAAACACCATCGAGTAAGCACCTTGAAGCTTCTCACAAGCATCGATGATCCTCATGAAAAAGGGTCTAGCTTTAGAGATCGCAATCAAATGAAGCACAACCTCAGTATCAGAGGTGGTATTGAAAATCGAACCGTTCTCTTCAAGCATAGCTCTCAATTGCTTGTAATTCACCAGATTGCCATTGTGTGCAACGCCGATTGACCCGAATCTGTACCCGGCGACGAAAGGCTGGACATTTTTGAGCATGGAGGATCCGGCGGTGGAGTAACGGACATGACCGATGGCGAATTCGCCGGGTAATTGGTCGAGTTTGGACTCGTTGAAAACCTCGGAGACTAACCCAACACCTGTTATGGTCTGAAGAACTTTTTCGTCGCTAACTGTTACAATACCTGCACCTTCTTGACCACGATGTTGAAGCGCGTGGAGAGCTAAGTAACAGAGACGGGAAGCTTCCGGGTCGCCGTAGATTCCGACGACGCCGCACTCCTCACGAGGCTTTTCGTCTTCGTCGTTGTAATCGAAAGAGGGAAGATAATGGTCTTCGGTTCTTGAGAGCGAGGAGTCAGAAGAGAAATACTGGGAGACTCCATGGACGAGTAAAGGAGGTGAGGAGAGAGCTAGAGGGGAAGGTTTAAGGAAGGGTTTTGGGAGGATAGAGAGAAGTTTATTGGTACAAGGGTTGTTTGGTTTAGGGATGAGTGAGAGGGAAGAGGAGAAGCTGGTTGTGGTGGTGGCCGCCATGGAAGCGAAGCAGACAAAATCTTGGGATTTCGTAGGTTATATTTTGGTTTTGGTCTTATTTGGGGCTAAACTGTGTTGTGTGATTGTGAAAGGGAATACATAGCCGAGTGGCGAAGGGTTTTGACTTTTTACTCTGTATTTCGCCACCTGCCGAATCTTTTCTTTCTTTTAGGGGTTTATAAAAAAAAAAATTGAAATTTAAAATAAAAAAAATAATGTGTAGCATTTGGGTCTGGACATTCTGATACTCTGGTTGGGTTCGGGTTGGATACTTCGGGCTAAAAAGTTTAGGCATCGATCGAGAGTATTTTTGAAATTCAGAACAAATTCGGTTTGGTACCCTCTGGATTCGGATCGATTCGGGTATTTGATTGAAGAACGGAAAAAAAAATTCGTATACTGTTCGCTTTGTATTCCTCCAAAAGTATCCAAAATAACAAAAGAAAATTCTAAAAAAATTATCGTTGTATCAAATATATACCTAAAATATCTAAAATATCTAAAAATAACTAAATTTTTTGGATTTATCATATATATCATATATATTATAATTAAAGTAAAAATTTTGAGTTAAAACTCTCTCATTCAATCTTAGGATGATATATATGATAAATCCAAAGAATTTATAAATCATTTTTTGATTTTTTTCTGTTGTTCTTTTCGTTTTTCAGTACAATTATATGTTGTTGTTTTGTGTTATCAGTTGTTTAATTAAAGTAAAAAATTTGAGTTAAAACTCTCTCATTCAATCTTAGGGTGATATATATGATAAATCCAAAGAATTTATAAATTATTTTTTGATTTTTTTCTGTTGTTCTTTTCGTTTTTCAGTACAATTATATGTTGTTGTTTTGTGTTGTCAGTTGTTCTTCCTTACTAATTAATCGTATAATGTTTATTTTATTTTTTTGCATTGTCCATGTAGATAGGTTACCGCTCTGGATATTTTACCGGTGTGTATATATATATATATAGTTACTGCTATATCGAAGTATCAATTTCTTGTTTATCAAGTTAGTATGCTTTGCGATTGTTAGCTTTTGTATTTGTCACTTTGCATTATTTCCGATTGTTATCATCTCTTTTTTAATTTTTTTTTTATCATGTTATATGTTTTTCGATTGCACGAGATACCAGTTTTATATGTGTTTTGTTTGTTGAATTATTGGGGGAAAATACCTGTTTTTCTCTTTTTTTATTTACTTTTTCATAAATTTTAATTTCTTAACTTTTTTTGATATTGGTTTGTGTTTATGTGGCGGTGTCTTTAAGATGGGTCGTCTGGATCGTTTCTCACATGGGATTTACTCATTTTCCGACAAAGTGTCTTTTTTTATGCTTTGGTGACTTTGGAAAACTGGTGAAAAACTACAAATTCTGTTTTGGTCTCTGTCCAATTGAGTTTCTATTAAAAGGAAGAATAAAGCTGCCTATGAGTTTAAATTCTGGTCAATCCCTACAAATTGTGTTTTTTTCTTTTTTTTTTAATTTATCTATTTATGTTCAATCACATCAATATTTTTACTTAACTTGGTTAAAACCATGTCAATATATCATAAATCGTCTTTATTGTCTAATGAACATGTTTTAAGTCTTTTGTTTTTTTTTGTTTTAAATATAGCTTTCTGAATTCAGTTTATTTTTGGGATAATGTAAGAGAGGCCAAATACTCTAGCAGGGTGCAGACGAAAAAAATTCAGGTTCTTAAGTTCTTCAAACCAGAAACGTCTTTATTGATGTATATATTTCCGTTCCCAAGATATTTGATCTTACACTGACCTGTTCATTGATTTGCTAGGTGAAACGAGGTGAGACAGTCAAGAGATGCAAAGCTAGATCTGTGAGGCACCAAAGAACATCTGAACGTGCAGTATGTACACCATCTGTCATTTTTTCTGCTAAAACATATTTGTATAATGTCATCATTCCAACAAAGAAACTACATGATCTCAACGCCCAAAAAAGAGCAGGCAGAGAGAAATGCACTCCTCATATACAAATATCATTATCATTAGATCATTCTCATAAATATTATCACCGGTTGCACTAATTCTTTTGCTCCTCTAATAGAAATTGCAGAGGCTCACGGGTTCTCTTGATGCTGATGTAAAATGTTGGTCGAGTGGAATTGTAAGCAGCTTGCGGGGATTTCTCATAACAATCCAACATGTAAATGTTTTCCCCTTTTGTTCCACAGCTTTGAACTCTTTCATAAATCTGAGTATCAGACTTTTAAAGATTATGCATATATGTCTTGAGTAAAGTAAACAATATATATCTTTAGTTTGTTCACCTACACTTTGAATATTAATTTTTATTATATAATTTAATAACAAGATGAAGACGATTAGAAGAATACAAATTCTGAACGATGAAGAATGAAAAATAGAGAATGAGAGGGAAGAAAAAAATTAAGAAAACCGAAAAAGAAAACAGAAAAGGGAAAAAGGGAAAAACGAAGTAGAAAAAGAAGAGAAAAATGATAAATCGAAACATATAGAAGAACATAAAGTTGACTAAGACGTAAAAAAATGAGAAAAAAATGAACAAAAAGTCCTAGACCATAAACAATAAGATAAAGATGGGTAACAAAAAATAGTGAAGAAGAAAAATGATAAGGAGATGAAGAACTCAAAGTTGAAGAAGAAAACTAAAATAAAAAGAAGTACAAAAACGCTAGATGAAGAAAATAAAGTATAAAAAGAAGAAAACCTGAAGATGCGAATAGACAAACAGAAATTAGAAGAAAATTTTTTTGGATAAGACAAAAATGACCAAGAAGAAGTAAGAAGCAGAAGATAAAAACGGCTAATAAAACCAAAAGAAAAAGGCTCCCCTCATGTG